TCCATTTCTGATGAAGGGTCTAGGCCCAAAACGTCAGCCTTCCTGCTCCTATGATGCTGCTTGGCCTGCTGTGTTCATCCAGCTCTACACCTTGTTATCTCAGATTTTCCAGCATCTGCAGTTCCTACTATCTCAGTTTCAATTTACTGACAGTCTGCCACACTAGAATTTGTCAAAAGCCTTGCTAATATCCATGTAGATCACCTCAAACATCTGACCCTCAACTCTCTTTGTTACCTTCTACAAGGATTCAATCAAATTAGTCAACTACAACCTTCTCTGAACAAATCTATGATTTTTGATTAACCTGTGCCTTTCTAAATGATGGTTTATACTGTCAGTCAAAGCTCTTTCCCAATAACATAACCAACATCAGGTTTAATCTCTAATTATTGAATTGCCCCAGTATCAGCATCTTGCAGATTACCATCAAACAAAAACTGAACTGGTCTTGCCATATAATTACAGCGACTACAAGAGCAGCTCAGAGGCTAGGGGAGAAAAACTTTGAGATATAACTAGTCTATAACTATCTTCTAAAGCCTGGAAAGCTGAATACTGGCCACTTTCCAAAGACTTGGATCCAGCTTGATTTCAATCTGAAGACATTCAGTCTGTGGCTATCAGCAATTCGATTTCATCAACAGGAAACCCAGTGTACCACATGGATTTATCATGCTCAATGCTTCATTTATAGACCCGTGATCAACAATATTGATTTTCTTTTGCAAAAAACCTCTGCAGAGCCTGTTGTTTGTGCTGCGTGCCTGTTTGGGATTAAGGCAATGTAGTTTTTACTTTTGATTATAGCTCGTGTGTTATACTAAATAGGTTACCTTGAGCCCATAAAAGGAGCCTGCCAGAAGTTTCTTATTCTGGATCGCAATAGAAATGAGAAGGATTCGGCCTTTCCCCTGACTGAATGAACACATGTATACCAACGATGGAGCTGTGGGACTCGATTACCAGTACATTCCTCCAATCACAGCCAGAACACAGGAGAAAAATATATTTACAATAGTGAAAAATCAGGGATAAAATGTTCTTGGGGATATGCAGGAATGCAGAGTTCAGGTTAAAATCAGATTAGCCATGATGTTATTGAATAGTGGAGCAAATTTGATAGGCTGAATGTTATACTCCTAATCTGTACGTTCTTTAAAAGAGATATTGCCAATTCTATTCACTGGCAAAGCCAAAAAAAAGCAGCTTTTGTAACACCAGATGGACTTTATCAATGTAAAAGCATGCCGTTTGGAATGAAAAACACACAGACAACCTTCCAATGATTAACCAACAAAATGACATGAGGGTTACGTAATTGTTTTCAAAAAAAAAAAACCGAGGATGCTGGAAATCAGAAACCAACATAGAAATTGCTGGGGAAACTCAGCAGATCTGGCAGCATCTGTGGAGAGAAAGCAGAGCTAATGTTTCAGGTGTATTGACCCTTCTTAACTACATTGAAAATTTGGTTACTTTCAGCTTAACCTGGAAGAACATTTACACCATTTGAGCCAATTTGGTTATCAACTGGCTAAGAGTGAATTTGCTACAGTGGAAATGACTTCGGCTGCACAATGGGGCAAGACCAAGTCATACCTAGATAAGTGAAAATAAGGGATATTTTGGATTTTCCCACACCCAAGAAAAAAATGCAAAATTCTGCAATATGAGTGGACTTTATTAGCGATTTGTTCTAACCTGCTGAACTCTAGGTTGCTTCTACAAATTTGGTTTTTTTTATTCTTTCACAGGATGAGGGCATCGCTGACCAGGCAGCATTTATTGCTCATTTCTAATTGCACAGAGGGCAGTTTAGTCAACCACATTGCTGTGGGTCTGGAGTCACATGTAGTCCAGACCAGGTAAGGACCAGATAAGTTTCCTTCCCTAAAGGACATTAGTGAACCAGATGGGTTTTTCCGACAATCGACAATGGATTCATGGTCATCATTACATTCTGAATTCCAGACATTTTATTGAATTCAAATTCCACCATCTACTGTGGCGGGATTCGAACCTGGGTCCCCAGAATGTTATCTGGGTCTCTGGATTAACAGGCCGGCAATAACATCACTAGGTCTTTGCCTCCCCATTGAAGGAATGCATAAAATTGGAAAGGGACAAATGAATGTCAGAGTGCCTTTGACGATTTGAGAACTGGACCAATTCCTACACGGGTTTTAACAGCCTTGAATTACGAGAAGCCATTCAAACTGCCTGTTGAATCCAGGGATTTTTGCCATTTGGATGCCATTTTACTAGAACAAGCTGGGGATTTTACAACCTACCACAATGCCTTTCAACAGATATATCTGAAGGACGAAGAAAGAGACATGCTAAAATTCTGTTTGCCTTTCTTATTACCTGCTGTACCTATTACCTACTAATTTTCTGTGATTAATGCACAAAGACACCCAGATCCCTCTACACCAAAGCACTCCGAGGTTTCTCTCCAGTTAGATAGTAAATTTGCTTTTCTATTCTTCATATCAAAATGAACCTGTATTTGTGCTGGTACTTCTTATGAATATAACAGTAGGTTATGCATCAGAGATGATAATATGAGGTTTGGTCAGATATTGGACCTGGATTTAAAAGGTACAGTGATACCCTCTCCCTGACTGCACAAAGAACAGATAGTGATTTAACAGCAGAGGTCTTTATTTAAGTACAGTACATGGACTGCTGCTGACAATCTGCGATAATCAATAAGCTGCGGATGTCATTGATGGGGTGGAGCAGCAAGAAGCTTAACCTAGTCATCACTGAAGGAATTCAAATGTCTCCCAGCCTCATTCACGTCTGTTGTACTGAGGGTGCCACCGCTCCTATTATTGGCTGGGACAGTGTACATTCACAGCTTCACATTCTGTGCTGACAGGAAGAACACAGCACTTATTTTGAACCTCTTGACTTTTTAAAAAAAATCTCATTCCAAGCATCTTCTTCTACCGTAGGTTCTCATAAAACCGCCTTCTTAGAAAAGGCAGGAGTGGCCAGTTTTCAGTGACCCTGTTTACCTGTCCTGTGCTCTGGAAGCCTTTGCTCTGTCAGCCAGGAGTTGGGCAATGGGCATTGGGCTCACAAATTGTCACTTCATTTGAATTACTGAAACTCTACGCTGCTGCTTGAATGTTAAAAACAAAATCTCTGCTAAAAAACAAAAGATGGTATTTCTCTCACAAGCAATGAGGGAGCACTGAGGTGCTTTTGAGTGTCACTCTTCAAGTTTGTTAGTCAATACAGGATAGGGTATGCATTCAGGGAGTAGGCGAGGGGTGTGTACGTCAAGGGAGGAGTGCGTGGGTTTTGAATGCAGCAAGTAGGAGCCCTATTGGATACCCCTAATAACTGTGGCATCATCAGTCCACAGGATGCAGCACTGTCATTTAGCCAGACTCAGGAGGAGGCCGTGACTTAGCAATAATTACTTCAAGTCCATCCCAGTCGAGTCTTTCAACCCTGGTCACAGTAAAGAGACTGAAATAACAAGCCTGGATCAACCTGCTGATGATGGAATGTGCTCTTATTTCAGTGAGCCACTTCTCCATAATGCAGGTCTGGGCATAGTCAAATTAAATACAAAAGATTACTCTGAAAAATAAACAAACTACACTGTGCACTAAATTTTAGGCAGCAATTCTGTTGTCGATTCCATTCTCCCCTGTCCCCTAAGAGCGATTTGGAGATGGAGTGGGGAGGGGTTATTATTAAATAACCAAGCTCACAGCCCTTCTGTCCATCTATCCTCACTCAGTTTGTACTTGTGCTGGAGGAGAATTCACACAGTTACGACTCAAATGCCAACTAGTTCACTTTGACCTTCAAACGCTGTCAGCAACTCCCAGTCAGGGACAGAGAAGGTGTCTTTTCCATCTGTAAACAAATCCACTCCAATTCCACGTGTATTCCATTCACTGGGGCCCACGTCCTGGGCTTGGGGTCACGTCAGAAGGGGAATGAGTTGCCTCAGGGAGCCACTGATGGCCTGCCAGTTCCTCCAGGTTAGGCCCAGAAAGACCAGGAAGAACAAAGTGCTAAACGTCCTGCTGCGCGTCTTCATCAGTGGCACCAGAGTGGACACAAACACCAGGAGGACAGCCATGACAGCCAGCAGCACATTGATGAGTTTCCCCAGGAGGGTACGTGCTGTGCCGTTCTCCAGGCCCTCCAGTTGTACCACCTGCTGCTGCTGCTGCTGCAGCTCCATCTTGGAGATTCGGGTCTGACACGCCTCCAGGGCTTCCTGAGAAAGAAACAACAATGCAGCCCTTAGCCCACTGGGAGAAACATGTTACCCCCCACCAACCCCCACCACCACCACCACCACCATCACCACCATCACCACATGGCGGGGAGGGGAGGGGAGGGTGTGGGGGGACCTGCTACCCCGCGGCAAGCACCATTCACCCCCACAGGGAGAAACCCACTTACCCCCCCCACACACACAGGGAGAAACCCACTTATTCCCCCCACACACAGGGAGAAACCCACTTAACCCCCACCCCCGACACACACACAGGGAGAAACCCACTTACCCACACGCTTCCCCCCCGCCACACACACACACAGGGAGAAACCCACTTAACCC